AACATGAAATGAACAAACCTAAGAGAGGTCTACCCAAGGTACATATACACCAAGTATCAAAGCATTTAGGCTTGTAGTTTTCAAGAAGAAGTCGAAAAAGTAAAACATTGACACGGACGACGACGACGGACAATCACTCATATGATAAGCTCCGCTCGACAAAGTCGACAGCGGAGCTAAAGAGGCACTGTCCAGGAGACGTTTCAGTGTTGGGATAGCGTGATCAATGGCAAAAAAGAAAATGTTTGGCCTTCAGGTAATATTCACCATTGCTTGAAAGGCGCATATCATTGACTTTTGCCGTAACTTTTGCTGCATCTCGTTTCAAACTTGCCACCTTCTTTTGTTCTTTCCGTGTTACGATGGCTACAGCAAATCTATTGTGACGATTGTTGTTATCATGCTGTAGCTCGTATGGATAATCAATGCGTAGCTGTTGGCAGTCCCCACAGTGACGAAATCCAACAGCAAAAACGCAGAGTATAACAAACTGTGTGTATGTTTTGACTGGGTCGTTACTAAAATATTTTTCAACCAATCAGACCTACAGTTCTTTGTAATTCTGAGGCAAGATTACAGACGTAAATTAGGTGTGAACCGAAGGTGTGAACACAGTAAGTCTTCTTTGGAGATAAAAATGAAAAATACTTAAAAAAAACAACTTCGGTTTCATTTAATATAGTTTATCCATTATCATATTTAATATTTTTTTCAAGTAATTGAGTGAAGCGTGTCGTTATTATCGTCACTGCGTGGGGAGATTCCCGGGGCTTCCGGTTACTGTTTGGTCCCGTCCCGTCTCGTACCTATTACCCTTTCTAGCACCATGCTATTACCATGGAGGTAAAAATAGACCCCTTTCTAGCTCCATGCTATTACTGAAAGCAGTGCCGGGAAAATTTAATAGTTATTGAACGAAAAGGAGATTTGTATTTCAGGGGTTCACTGCGTGTGGGTTACGCCACAGTCATTCGTGTTGTCTACATGTAACAAATTTTGACGAGTCACGCAACTAAAAGTAAAACCCCAGTTGTCTGCATGGAGGTACTTCCATTGTCTGAACTAAAACAAAGCCAGTCTTGCAATTTGATCCCAGCTGTCACTCACCGTTCTATGAGGTCAAAAATAACGATCACCCAATCAAAGTCCCAGAATCATGCAAAGTTTACCTACGATTTGATACAAATAAATCAATTTTGGGGAGACAAGCGACGCTTAGAAATAAAGTGTTCTTGAATAAGCGTCAGCTGCTACAAATTGTACAAAATGTGACCCAGTTTTGGCGTCAGGAACGAATGAAATGTTGCAAAACTGACGCCTAATTTAGAACATATACGGTATATAAACATGTATGTATGGTGTCAGTGGATCTGTACAGTAGTTGTCTACAAGTACTGGGTATGCATAATAAATGTATATGATTTGTACATCTATATAGACATGTATGTATGGTGTCAGTGGATCTGTACAGTAGTTGTCTACAAGTACTGGGTATGCATAATAAATGTATATGATTTGTACATCTATATAGACATGTATGTATGGTGTCAAAGGATCTGTACAGTAGTTGTCTACAAGTACTGGGTATGCATAATAAATGTATATGATTTGTACATCTATATAGACATGTATGTATGGTGTCAGTGGATCTGTACAGTAGTTGTCTACAAGTACTGGGTATGCATAATAAATGTATATGATTTGTACATCTATATAGACATGTATGTATGGTGTCAGTGGATCTGTACAGTAGTTGTCTACAAGTACTGGGTATGCATAATAAATGTATATGATTTGTACATCTATATAGACATGTATGTCTGGTGTCAGTGGATCCCAACTTTAGTCACCTGTGAGTGTATGTGTCTATTATACTATTTTGATATACATACTTGGACTGAAATCTTCATCAACATTGAACGGCTGTAGTTGCACATCACTTGTCTCCATGAAGCCTTTACCCAAATTATAAACTTGTTCAGCATGGCAGGAGTAGCTTTTATCTTTGCTAGCTTTAAATAATTGGTCAGAAGTGGATACATTCTTTTGTGCACCTGTTGGAATACAAACAATCACAGGGCAAAAATAAAATAAACATGTATACATTAAATTTTAAAAAGTATTGGTGATAAACAAAATTTACCAAACTTACAATGATTGCTCCAACTCTCAGTGTTGAATCAGAAAGTTAAATGAGCCGGACATGAACTACGATAACGGTACATGCAGTTTTACAGTTGTTTGTTCTAAGCATTGACACTTCAAAACTTGCCAAAAGAAACAACTTTTATCGTTCCAATTATATTGTGAATTATTGATATTACCTTTTATATAGAGAGTGGATCAAAACATTATTCTTTGAAAATGCCCCTCTCAGTAACAATACGTTTTGCCCATACACATACCAGATTAACATAATTTATAATAATCAACAGCAAACAACATGGCAATACAATATACAATACTGCGACGAAAACAGAATAAGTGGATGTTTTAGTTTATTTTGACATTTCATGTTGACAAGGTAAATAAAACATCTCTAATTTAACAAGACATGAATGTCACAGTCCCCGAGCTGGCATCGGTGTTTTAATTCATTAAAACAAAATGGCAGCCAGTCGGCCATTTTGAATGTTATCTGAAAAACAAAATTATTTGCATCAAGGTTCGCCCGAACAGGGACTAATAACTGCATTTTTTTAATTAGCATATTTTTTGGAGGGTGTGGTCATTATTGCCAAAAGACCATCTACTCGTGCCAAGGTGTTATCATACCAAATATGAATAAAATCGACACAGTGGTGGTAGAGATAGCAGTAAATAACTGCATTGATTTAATTTGCACATTTTTAGGAGGTTGTGGTCACTATTGCCAAAAGCACATCTACTCGTGCCAAGGTGTTATCATACCAAATATGAACTAAATTGGCCCAATGGTTGCTGGGATAAGAGCAAGTAACTGCATTGATCTAATTTGCATATTTGGGGGAGGGTGTGGTCATTATTGCAAAAAGCACATCTACTCGTGCCAAGGTGTAGTCATACCAAATATCAATAAAATCGACACGGTGGTGGTAGAGATAGCAGCAAATAACTGCATTGATCTAATTTGCACATTTTTGGGAGGGTGTGGTCAGTATTGCCAAAAGCACATCTACTCGTGCCAAGGTGTTATCATACCAAATATGAACTAAATTGGCCCAATGGTTGCTGGGATAAGAGCAAGTAACTGCATTGATCTAATTTGCATATTTTTGGGAGGGTGTGGTCATTATTGCCAAAAGCACATCTACTCGTGCCAAGGTGTAATCATACCAAATATGAATAAAATCGACACAGTGGCGGTGGAGATAGCAGCAAATAACTGCATTAATCTAATTTGCATATTTTTTGGAGGGCGTGGTCATTACTGTCAGAAGCACATCTACTCGTGGCCAAGGTGTTATCATACCAAATATGAACTAAATTGGCCAAATGGTTTCTGGGATAAGAGCAAATAACTGCAATGATCTAATTTGCATATTTTGGGGAGGGTGTGGTCATTATTGCCAAAAGCACATCTACACATGCCAAGGTGTAATCATACCAAATATGAATAAAATCGACACAGTGGCGGTGGAGATAGCAGCAAATAACTGCAATAATCTAATTTGCATATTTTTTGGAGGGCGTGGTCATTATTGCCAAAAGCACATCTACTCGTTGCCAAGGTGTAATCATACCGAATATGAATAAAATCGACACAGTGGTGGTAGAGATAGCAGCAAATAACTGCATTGATTTAATTTGCACATTTTTGGGAGGGTGTGGTCACTATTGCCAAAAGCACATCTACTCGTGCCAAGGTGTTATCATACCAAATATGAACTAAATTGGTTCAATGGTTGCTGGGATAAGAGCAAATAACTGCATTGATCTAATTTGCATATTTGGGGGAGGGTGTGGTTATTATTGCAAAAAGCACATCTACTCGTGCCAAGGTGTAATCATACCAAATATGAATAAAATCGACACAGTGGTGGTAGAGATAGCAGCAAATAACTGCAATAATCCAATTTGCATATTTTTTGAAGGGCGTGGTCATTATTGCCAAAAGCACATCTACTCGTTGCCAAAGTGTAATCATACCAAATATGAATAAAATCAACACAGTGATTGGTAGAGATAGCAGCAAATAACTGCATTGATCTAATTTGCATATTTTTGGGAGGGCGTGGTCATTACTGTCAGAAGCCCATCTACTCGTGTGCAATCCTACCAAATATGCTCGAAATCGGCTCAATGGTTGCCGAGATCAAAGGAAATAACTGCATTTAGCTAAATTGCATATTTTTGGGTAGAGTGTGGTCATATTAATAATAACCTAAAAGATGTCTTCCTCTGATAAGGAAGCTATTTTGAAATTGGGCCCTGAGAAATTGGTTCTGAGTTCTGAAATACATTTGGTAAAACTGTTGAATCAGAAATCAGGAATTTGAATTTGACAGAATCAATTATTCTAAGCATGCTCAGTTACTCTGTCAGTGTAGTGGAGAGAGGAAATTTTGGATGAAAATCTTGAACCACTTAGGATTTTCAGATCTGTAAAAAAAATTATGTGCATATGTAACACAGAATTGTTCATCAACCTGCAAAGTTTCATTGACATCTGCTGCAGAGTCTCTGAGAAAATGTTGGAGATAACTTGCAGCAACTTAAAAATGAGAAAGAAAGTAAAATCAAAGAAAGCTTAGAAAGAACTCCCGTGTGCTGAGAGTATTGAAGACACATTAAAAATTAATTCAAAATTACTTGTACATGAGATGAGATATTGATGGAAAAGCTGAAAACTAATTATGTAAATCAGGTAACTAATATGAACAGAACAGAACAAAAAAATTATGAATTATTATGCTAATTAGAGAATTAATATTAATCAAAATTAATCAGGCCTGTTTATTGTCCTAGAACATTTATGTACCAAATTTTATTCAAATGTGATGATCAGTAATTGAGATATCAGTGTTAATTAATTATGTTAATTAGGTGATTAATAAGCATAAATATTTACCAAAAACTAATTGGGTTTCTGCATACTGTGTGGAATACTTTATTTTCGCTGGAATTAATTTTCGCTGAAAAGGCTTTTTGGGCGTTTTGCTTGTAATTTATTTTCACTGATTTTTGATGAGGTTAATGTGAAATATAGAAAAAAAAGTATATTCGCTGGATTTTATTTTCACGGAATCAACCATTCAGCGAAAATAGCGAAAATAAATTCCAAGTGAAAATAAAGTATTCTACAGTAGTTCTCTTTAAAAGTTTCATTAAAATTCAATTTGTGGTTCTTTATATATCAGTGGAACATTATGCAAATTAGGTAATTAATATCCAATTAAAACTAATCAGGTGTCTGCATAATCCTAGAAGATCTATGTAGAAAGTCTCATTATTGCTGTGTATACAGTGTACATTAAGGGATCTCACCAGACCAACAGGAGTGCCAGTCGGTCATGAATATTAATGAGACATATAAATATTAATTAGTTGATGCATATTAATGATATATGAATATTAATTAGTTAATGCATATTAATGAGCAATAACAAGACAACTGGCACAAAACAATAGCAGTGAACAAGGTCGCTATTTCATCTTCTACAAATTATTGGTTTTTGCCAAACAGCCACAGTGTATTACAAACAAAATGTAAACAATTAAAAACGCTTTAAGGTACTGACCTGTATCAGTAGCATTTGGAAAGTCTGCATGACTAATAAAATAATCCAGTGTGACTTGAGTTGTATAAAAGTTAGTAGCATTCATTTCAAACTTCATGGTAAGATTGTTTGACTTATCAGAGTCTTTGTTAAAATTGAGAACCAACACTGAGTTGTTAAGTCCACATGTGCTTTTCACTGTGTCTACAACAGCAGTTACGGGTAATGGAAAGGTAGCATTTTCCTAAAAAAAAAAAAAGAAAAATTGTACAACAAAGAAAAACTGGTACCACTGTAAGTAACAATGTAATGATTACAACCTTGTAAGCACCATTGTAAGTGAAATATACAGTGTAACTATTACTAATTTGTAAGCACTATTGTAAGTAAAATATACAGTGTAACTATTACCAACTTGTAAGCACCATTGTAAGTGAAATATACAGTGTAACTATTACCAACTTTGTAAGCACCATTGTAAGTGAAATATACAGTGTAACTATTACTAATTTGTAAGCACTATTGTAAGTAAAATATACAGTGTAACTATTACTAACTTGTAAGCACTATTGTAAGTGAAATATACAGTGTAACTTACTAACTTGTAAGCACTATTGTAAGTGAAATATACAGTGTAACTTACTAATTTGTAAGCACCATTGTAAGTGAAATATACAGTGCAACTATTACTAACTTCTAAGCACCAATGTAAGTGAAATACAGTGTAACTATTACTAACTTGTAAGCACCATTGTAAGTGAAATATACAGTGTAACTTACTAATTTGTAAGCACCATTGTAAGTGAAATACAGTGCAACTATTACTAACTTGTAAGCACCATTGTAAGTGAAATATACAGTGTAACTTACTAATTTGTAAGCACCATTGTAAGTGAAATATACAGTGCAACTATTACTAATTTGTAAGCACTATTGTAAGTGAAATATACAGTGTAACTATTACCAACTTGTAAGCACTATTGTAAGTGAAATATACAGTGTAACTATTACCAACTTGTAAGCACTATTGTAAGTGAAATATACAGTGTAACTATTACTAATTTGTAAGCACCTTTGTAAGTGAAATAAACAGTGTAAGTATTACTAACTTGTAAGCACCAATGTAAGTGAAATATAGTGTAACTATTACTAATTTGTAAGCACCATGGTAAGTGAAATATAAACAAGTAGCCTGTCGGCTGAGATAGCTCCGCTGTTAGCAATGCACATTGCAATTAAAGAACAGAAGATATCATTAGAAAATGAACAATAGGTATAGTATCAAAGCAATCAACCTTTATATCACTTTTTACCAAAAAAGACAAAAATAATCATTAATTGAAGATATCATCACCAAATGAACAAATCTGAGACAGGTATACCTGTAGTGTCTATATATATAATATCAAAGCAATCGGACTTGCGGTTTTTAACAAGAAGTCAAAAATCAAAGAAAGCTTAGAAAGAACTCCCGTGTGCTGAGAGTATTGGAGACATTAAAAATTACTTGAACTTGAGATATTGATGGAAAAGCTTATGCAAATAAGGTAACTAATGTGAAAAGATTTC